CTGTGTTATCTTTTACTTCGCAATTCTTTTTCTCTTTCATTGATTTTTCTGTCTTCAAGTATTGATACACCTAACAGATGCAAAAAGCTTCAAGAGATACAAAGAATTGTAAAATATGGATCTTGTTTCTAAGAAACATAGTTGGAGAGGTGAGCCTTCCAAATACGAGATGATAGAACATTGTCGTTGTGATTGTTCACTGCTGTTGAGTTGATTCTGACTCCTGGCAGCTCACGTGTGCAGAGGACAACTGTGCTCCATAGGGTTTTGAAGTCTGTGGCCTTTCAGAAGCAGAGTGCCAGGCCTTTCTTGTGAGGTGCATCGGGGTGAGTTTGAACCACCAAACCTTCTGGTTAGTAGTCCAGCACTTAACCATCTGCTCCATCCAGGGACTCCAACCCAATTATCAACCAAAACCCACTACCACTGAGTCGATTCCTATTCCTAGTGACTCTATAGGACAGAGTAGAATTGCCCCATAGAGATTTCAAGGCTGAAATCTTAAAGAAGCAGTCTGCCTCATCTTTCTTCCTTGAATAACTGATGGGTTCAAGCTACTGACCTTTTGGTTAGAAGCCGAGTGCTCAACCATTGGGCTACCAGTCTCAACACAGCTGAACTGTATTCCTCTGCCAACTTAACATCTGTGTCTGACTATTTAAGCAAGTTCGGGCCATTCAGGTGTGTTGTTTTTGTTAGGCACCATTGAGTCAGCCCTGATTCATAACGACCCTTTGTCTAACATTGCAGTCTTTGCTATGCTTCAGCCCATCATTGCAGCCACTGTGTCAGTCCATCTTGTTGACGGTCTTCCCCTTTTTCGCTGACCCTCCACTTTACCAAGCATGATATGCTTCTCCAGGAAACGGTCCCTTCTGACAACATGACCAAAGCAGGTGAGATAAAGTCTGGGCATTCTCTCTTCTAAGGAGCATTCTGGCTGCACTTCCTCCAGGACAGATATGTTCATTCTTCAGGCAGTCGATGGTATTTTCAGTATTCTTCACCAACACTAGAATTCAAAGGCATCAACTCTTCTTTAGTATTCCTTATTCATTGTC